ATGATGAGTGGTGTATGATGAGTGGTGTATGATGAGTGGTGTATGATAAGTGGTGTATGATGAGTGGTGTATGATGAGTGGTGTATGATGAGTGCTGTATTGAACAGCTGTTGAATGTCCGTAACACGGAAGTTTTGCACACTAAACTTCCTTTGAATATAGAATACCCTGGCTTCCCTTCAGCTCTGTGTTATCCCTTCTTCACCGACGTGCGTCGTCCCAACGGGACGCGCCAGGTCAGCCCGTCCGCCTTCATCCACCGATGGTCGTTCACCCGCCCAACGGACACATGGGAAACCAAACAGCAAAACTCAAGGTGGACCCATACCAGGAGTCACAAGACGGGGTGCCGAGCTTGGAGGATAGGGGTGCCCTTGTCACATCCACTCACTGGATGGGACTAAAAACATCTAAAAACCACCCAGTCTTGTGACTCCTGGTACCTTACCTTACCTTGAAAGTTTCAACTCCAAGAGAGGTCAAGTGACCTGAACTCGGACCCTACTGAGGTACCCAACTGGGATAGTCGAACTACGGTTCTTCAACCTTTGTTGGCTGGCTGTCACTGTATAGTTGTGTTTCTTCTTCGAACACATGCTGGTTCTTCCAAAAAATCAAGTAAGTGCTGAGTCTCACACCTGTCTCACTCTGCTCTTCGTGCTTTTCACATCTTTTCACTCTGCCCCAGAAACCTTGCTTGCCCTGCTTCTTCCCAGCATCTCTCTCTCCCCAGTTCAGAACCAACTGGGCAAACCGGGCAGGGAGAGATCCTTCTGCGCATAGCCGAAGTAGAGGCCGCCGAACTTTCGGGTCTCGGGCACCTGGGCTGAGAGCCGCAGAAACCAGCGCCGACCGTCGACATGATCGATAGATCTTGAGATCCATAATCCATGACAATCAGTGCAGTAGAACTACCAGGAGCAACCAAACCCTAGAAAAAAGACCCTACATGTGTCTAGGTTTGGGATGGTCTTGGTACTGTATAACTTACATGTCGCATTAGATTCATTAAGTCTTGAGATCCAAGAAAGCACCCTTCCTATCAGTGAGGAGGACGACTCCGTGTGTGGAGTCCTGTTAGTTGAATCGGTCCGGTCCTCTGCACGTTTGCGTGCACGCTTGCGTGCCGATGGTCCGAATTCCGGGATGAGAATTCCGAAACGAAGATGGTCCCAGGATCCGGGACCTGAACCGGATCCTAGGGCTTGTGCCAGGTCCAGACCCTCCATACCCAGACACGACCTGTCTGGGACTGTCATATACATGCCGCCTCATTGGGGTGGTGCCAGAGGGTCAATGGCGCGGCAGTCCGGACTGGCAGTCCCAGACAGGGGGGGCCCCAGTCCCCCAAGCACCGTTTCCGGAAAAAGGGGGGGGCGGCCGAACGGAGGGGGGCAGTGACCGGGTTTTTTCATCCATCAGCAGAATCTTTGGGGTCCGAAGTTCTGCAGTTAGTCCCGTGCTTCGCTTCTGCCCAACACGAAGCACAGGATGAGAAACGCCTGGTGCTGATGAGACCACGAGACTCTGCTCGTTTCTACACGACCAACGTCCGACATATCTGGCCCATCCAGGTGGAGGTCTCTAAGTACCATCGAATTCCGCTCCACGACATCCTTGTGGGTCCATCCGTTCGGGGTCACCACTTGTGGGTCGGCCCACTACGTACCCAAGTCCAGGTCCAGGAGAGGTCCTGGTGACAGAAAAGGACGCCTCGACCGGACCTCATCCCCAACCCGTGCTACATCGCGTCGCATGATAGGCGATGTAGCCCGGCCAGCTCAGGGATCTCAAGGTCACCAAGTTCGCCGTTGGGTCCTGCCGACGACGACTCCCCGGTTCCTTCGGTGCGGAGTTCCTTCGGTGGGACGAGTTCCCCGTGGAATTCGGTGTGGAGAGTTGAGAATTCGTTCCAAACCAAGGTGATTAGGGTGGAATCAAAGCAATTCCAAACATCAAAGCAATGCATGTATGGAATCTTTGCCCACGGTGGGGGGTGGTTTAAGATGCTTTAAGGGTCAATGTAGGCAAGCAGTGCACAATTCATCAAACGACATGGATTGTCTGGGATGCATCATGATCAAAGTGGGGTTTCCCCTCTCGAAACGCGTGAAGCAGAATCAGTACCAACTGGTTCTTTGACCTGGATTGATTATGAAATCAAGTTCACCGTGAACTGAGATTGCCTCCTTTGAGTCGAGAAGTGAGATGTCATTCTCACGTGTGAAACAGAGAACCTTTAGTTCAGCCCGGATGATGATTTACAGATGACATGTTCTGTTTCACTGTTGTCACACGTCCCGCTCCGTTCGGAGCGAGGTCGGGGCGTCCCGCACCGTTCGAACAACGGACGGGTGTCCGTCAGGATCCGTTTCAAAAATGGAGATGACCAGTGCCACATCTCTCGCACTTGTTGGACCAGTGCCGAAGTTGCGAAGCTTGCGAAGTTGCAAAGCTGGGGCAGCTTTTGCAAGAACTGCGATCTCTCAACGAGATGTGAACACCTTTACCCCAATCCGCGAGCGTTTACGCAGTCAGAACCCAAATGACACAACTCCCAAATCTGACTTCCATCACCTAAGGCAGAGCTCTCGATGGCAGCCGTCCCTAATCACAATGGCAGCCTCAGCCTCTCCACGAATCACTCCGAAGTAGTAGCAAGACCAGGATCACCAGTTAGATGAACGCTCAAATCAGCCAAAACATCACAAGGTTAGCAAGTAGCACAAGTCTATGACACTCCCACATACTAACCATGGAAGTGCAACACCCCTGTTGATGCGAGCAAAGTTGTCTTCCATAGGACCTGTTGTCCACATCCATGTGAGCGAGTCAGAGTGGAATCAAGTGAATCAAGCCCCTCAAAAGGTAAAGATTTCATCCAATGGATCCCCCCGTGCGATGCAATGGATGCAGGGTCAAAAATGGTCCGGTTCCTCCACTTCGGATGGTCATGTGGAAGTGATGTAGGCCTGTGTGCAGCTGCAGGGCCTAGGGCAAGCCATCTTCCACCATTCTTCAGTCCTGGTTTCAGTCCCTCCAAGCTCAGCTCATGCCCCCCTCAGCTCACCTCGCCGACCTCGACCTCGATCCCACCCGCCTTCCGGAGGGCCCAACAGCCCTTGGGCTGATCGCTGTCCAAGCCATCCAAGATCTGGCCACTGTAGACCTGGTACGACTCACGAATCCAACCCACGTCGTACTCGAGATCCGTGAAGAAGAAGTGGCAGGAGTCAGAGGTGATTCTTCTGGATGGGGTGGATTAGAAGGAGCAGTATGAATTGGTTCCAACATGTTCCAACAAAATATCCTGCGAAATACACATCCATAGGGACAAAGCCTACAAAGAACATGGCAGCAGCCATGTTTGAGCCCCAAAATCGAAAAAAAATATACAAATCCATCCTTTGCAGCCGACAGCGGACCTTAACCAGCCCCGAAAAAGACCCTGATCACGTCAGTCAGATCAGTCTCCTGACTCGGATTGACGTCGACGTCGACGTCGACGTTGGCCAAGCGAAGATGAATGAATCTGCAGTACCCAGACACGACCTGTCTGGGACTGCCAGTCCGGACTGCCGAGAAACGGCCAGGGGTGGTGCCAGAGGGGTCAGTTGATAGGCAGTCCCAAACAGGTCGTGTCTGGGGTATGCACCCTGCACGCATCATCGGTCAAATGATGGAAAGGCCTTCACCTTTCGGAAAGGTTAGCACTCCCATCACTGGATCGGCAAGAGACTTGCATAGTTGACATATGTTGACAACGTCCCGGCCACAAAGGAACCAAAGGAGTACCCCGGGAGACCTGGTCCCTCAACAGATTTGGGACCTTGTTATGACCTTTGTTATGTTTCTAAGGAGAGTGCCTGTACCAAGTATCTTGAGGGGGGTCTGCTAGAAGTTTCATATACAAAGACCTTTAGGAAGTCCTTCCCCAAGCAAAAGGCAATCATCCCTTCTTTGTTCGAAGACTCAACAAATTGCCCTTCTTCCGAAGTACATGCTTGAGGTGAGTTCTGTTTGAAAAAGACCATCCTCAACCATGACCATCGAAAGCTCAAACTATCGCCTTGCCGCTCAGTTCAGGCCTCACCTGCGCGTCCTTGCGTGCCAGGCTGCGCAACGCCGCAATGCCTGGGCCCACCCGGCCGTGGGTCGCCCCGCTCGTCGCTCCGCTCGTCCCTCCGCTCCGCTCGTCGCTCCGCTCGGCCCTCCGCCCTTACCGGGCCGTCCGCACTTACCGGCGCGCGGAAGTGCACGTAGCTGGTGAGCGCCGCAGCGTCCGCCACGCCGAGGCCTGCGGACGTCGGACGTCGGCGCACGCGGAACGCACGCGGGAGGTGCCGACTGAGGAGACCCAGGGAGAAGCGAAGAGTCTGTGGGTAATGCCAAGTGAAACATGGAAGATGTGGCGACCTAGCCAAATGCCGCACTGGAGCAACGAAAGTAAACATCTTCTACCGAATCATAAGTGCATTATATAAAACATTACAGAACTTATGCTGGAGTCGTATTATATGCATGCACTGCCTTGTTCACTGGAATAAATGCTGAGCAACATCCAAGAATGTCTGACAATATCAGTTTCAAACTGATTTGATGCCGCCTCATTATGTTACCAAATTGGTCAACCTACTTGAACAATATTGGTCAGTGGGATCCTGCTTGACAATACGGTTTCGCATGACCTTCATCTCTGGCAAACGAGCGACCCCTCTGGTCCGGCCCCCTTCCTCCTTCCTCCTCTTGACTCTTATCATCCGAAAGTCGCCCGGAACTGAACGAAGTCGCCCACGAATCGCCTTTGAAGTCGTTGGAGCTGACGATGGAGTGTTGCTCATCGATGCAATAAGCGCCTGCCATCCAGCAGCTGTGATGCGGACGCTCCACAGGTCGCCAAGTTCGGTGCCGAACTCGATCGAAAACCGCCGAGGTGGATAGCTGGCTCAAGAAACCCATAACACAGGTCATGGCTCCGGAATCAAGCCCATTGTTTGTAGTCCATCGAAGCCCCAAAACCAGGACACCGTGATGTTGTCAATGGTATTGAAACGTATCCCAGACACTCCATGCATGGAATCTATTGCCATGTGGGATACATGGTCATGGAAGGTCTGGGTATTGAAATTGTTCAACAGTGGCTCTTTGGGTGTAGAGAGTTCGTGTCGGACGTCGTGCCTTCCAGAGTGTCGTGTCGGACATGACCTCGAAACTCAGCCCAGTCGGGCGTCCAAACACGAGTGGATCCAGAGCTGAAGAGCAACATGCGGCAAAACAGGCCAAAATTGGAACCCTTGGTTGACCAAAGACAAACAAAACAAACGGAGATAGGGAGGACAACCTACCAGGGGCTCCGGGTAGCCATGACCCACAGCCGTGTGTCAAAGCTGATGGAAGGCCCAACAAACTGGGCCTTGACCTCCCAGTTCGAAGAAATTGGGCCACTGGGCCAACTGGGCGTTTGGTGGACATGGGTTCAGAAGGCCAGCCCAATGTGGGGGAATCCATAACACGGTTGTCACTATCACCAACCTGAAGTTCGGCATGTCCTTCCATCTTAGCCTCCCAAAAAGGCTGAATCCATAACACCCTCCGAACGTCCAAAGAACACCACCAACATACACCCATTGGCGTCAACGATACGACGCGTTCAAACCCTTGGGCGAAACAACGGCCACGAAACGCACGTCGCCACGCCTCGAGGTACGCAAGAGGTCTCGAAGTCGATCTCCAAGACCAGCTGTGCCAATCGATCTGCCTGGCGATCACGGCAAAGGAGCCCGGTGTCGGATTCCCCACGTACCCTCATGAGGTGAGGAGGAAGACATATCTTTTAGTAGGCGGTTGGAGGGTCCAAGAACCTTCTGAGAAGCTATCTGAATCCCTAGGGAAGTGACTTGGTGGTGGATCTATGCTCCTCACGTGGCCCTTCCTTCACGAGTCTCTCTCGGACATGACCAAAAAGAAAGATGGGTTTCCAGTGCCTTAAGGAGTCTGCCAGCCAAAAAATGAGAGAAACGTCCATCCATCTACCGATCTACCCTATCGGATACATGATTCCAGTAAATATTGTTTTATGAGAAGAAACAGCATCAAACATGAAAACCCGAGTGGACACCAAGCACCGCCAGCAGGTCATCTGCACGTCCGCGTCTGCAAGACACGGCCTCTGTGAGCTTCTTGGGGCCAGCGGGCACAGGCCTCGAACGCAGCGTGCAAATGTTCGGTGTAAGTCTGCTGTTGGGGGGGAGTGGGCCAATAGTCAGTAGAAGACTGTTTGTTGTCATCTAACCATAGCAATGGGGGTCACCCATGCTTCTCTACTTGAGGTGCAAGTCCCAGAACAAGAAACAAGTCCGAGGTCTGAGAATACGATGCTTGTTCAATCCATCTTCCTACATACTAGGTGGTCTATCAATGAGTCTAAGACTGTGGCGTCAAAACATGTGAAATGCCAACCATCGATTACGCCTGAATTCACTCCACTGGATCCAAATGGGCGGCTGTCGTTGGCTCTTTTTCTCCACTGAACGCTCTCGCTGTCGTTCTTCGAACACTTGGGTGAAGAAGCTTCGTGCTTGGATATTCCTTGGGTGGGGCTTTACTTCTTCCTGTGAAAAGAAGGTTTTTTTCCCGTGATGTTCACCGTAAATCAGCCAGAATAATAGCGAGGACCATGTACAGTGCTCACCTCCTTATTGGTGGAAAGCCAAAATGGATCAAAATGGTCAACCTTCCCAGAACTCCTCTCTTCTGTTCGGAGTCTTTTGGTCAGTATGTATGTCCTGTTATCGATCCCACGCCAGTCCTAGGGAACCAGGCACACCACCCCAAGCATTTGTGTTATAGCAATCACTAATCGGTGATTGCACCACACATTGCTCAGCTTGAACACAAATTTAGCTTGCAAGCTTGTGCTTGCATGTCCGGCAGCCTGTTTAAACAGTTCTCTCCAAGCATTGCCTCATGGTTTAGCAAAGCCATATTGTTAATTGTTCACCTCATCAAACAGGCAAATCTCATTGCATATCAATTCTGACTTGACTCCACCAGTTGTTCTAAAGCGAAGTTCGAGAACCCCATCTGTTAGACGCATAGCTAGCTATGTATTGTATACATGGCTGTGAGTCAAACCCTGCAACGTAGCTTGACCGGTCAACCAGTTTGTCCCTCGGTCTTCCGCTTTTGACCCTGCAACCTGTTCAGCCGAAAATGGTGTTTCCTTCCTCACCGAACTCCAGAGGTTTTTGGTGACCTCCAAAAGGACCCCACGAAATGACCCAACTGGGATGGTCATTAGGGTCCTTCAACCTCTAGATCCCAACGAAATCCTTGTCCTCCCTCCACCGTTTGACGTTGCAGCTCCCATCTCGGAACCGACAAGGGATGGAGGAACTGGGAACTCCCGGTCACTCCTCAAACTTTTTCATGGGGCCCCACGGTCAAAGCATCAAAGACCTGGTTTTCCTTAGCAAAAACAGCATGGAACCTTTTTGGATGTGACAACCTCTATTTTTCATGGGAAACTGAGGGCCACTGGCATATGGAAGAACTGGATAATTGTGGTAGCTCCCGGACATGTCAAATTCTGTCAATATAGTAATACAATAATATTAGTAATATTTAAACAAAAACACACCATATAAAAAAGTAAACAAAACAAACTTACTAACTAACTAACTAACTATTGCATGATATCTTAAACAACTTTACTATTGTTTACATCATATATCATAATATGAGCTCCTTGGGCTTTGGTTCGGTCCTCCGGACCCGTGTGCGAATGCCTGGAGAATGCAACCTTGTACGTGGCAGACCGGACCGTCGTCACACTGAGACCGACCTTTTGGGAAGAAGAATGTGACCAAAGATCTGGCAAATGCAGAAAACAACACACCAATAATTGATGTGGAAATGGCATCTCGTCACTGCCAGGCGGCAGGAAATGGCTATCAAATCCTTTTGACACCAGTGACCCAGGGTTACCCAGTGTTTGTTGGCACGCCTTACAGGGCCTTGCACGGCACTCGCCGCCTCACACGCTTGAGAGCGATGGCTGCACCTCTCTCAGAGGCAGCACTTGAGAGGAACGACCTGAGCACGGGAGTCTGAGTCGGGATGAACCGGGATAAAAAATAAGAATGAAAACCAGGTTACAAATATAGTTATATACCTGAGAAGCTGCAAAACGAAAGCCAGCGCTTCCCTTTCTCGACAAGTGTGCGTCGAAGCAATCAAATGAGCTCGCGCAGCCGCTTGCGGCCGCGTGTCAAATCTGCTTCATGTCTTGTTCTGCCGACACATAGGTAACCCTTTTGTTCAAAGAAACAGTTTTTCAAGCTAAATTCAAGGTGGCCTGGGACCAGGCGTTGTGGTTGCGATGACTCGTGGTGGCTTACGGCGGCTTCCATTTTGGGACCACTATGCGGTCCTATAGAGACCCAGGGTAGCTATAGTGCAGCTACCAGGTATAGTACTT